AATTGGGTATCCACATGCAGGAGAATAAAACTAGACCTCCTACATCTTATCACTAACAAAAATCAACCCAAGCCTGGTATAGTGTCATATGCTTGAAATCCCAGCAGCTCTAGAGGCTAAGACAGGAGGATCACAAGTTCAGAGCCAGCCTCAGCAATGCAAGGTGCTAAGCAACTCAGTAAGACCCTGTCTCTAAATTAAAAAATACAGAATAGGGCTGGGGATGTGGCTCAGTTCAATCCCCAGTATCAAAAGAAAAAATCAACTCAAATTAATTAAACACTTAAATGTGTGGGCTGGCGTGTTGCTCAGTGTGGAACACTTGCCTAACATATATGAGGCCCTGGGTTCAATCTCCAAACTTAAATATAAAAACTGAAACTAGCAAATTGAATCCTACTGGAAGAAAACTGGGAAAAACCTTCAGAACATCAGAATGGGTAAGGATTTTGTGGACTAAACTCCAAAAATATAGGAAATAAAAACAAAAATAGAATTTTATCAAACTGAAAAGTCTCTTCACAGCAAAAGAACCAAGCAACATAATGAAGAGACAGACTACAGAATGGAAGAAAATATTTGCAAACTATATACACATGACAAGGGGTTAATATCCAAAATATATAAGGAACTCCAAAAGCTCAGTAAGAAAAAAGCAAAAAACTCAATTTAAAAATGGTCAATAGACCTGGATAGAGATTTCTCAAAAGAAGACATGATGTCCAACAGATATATGAAAAAATCATCAGGGAAATGCAGATGAAAACCAGATATTGCCTCATCCCAGTAAGAATAGTTAGGGATAAGGAGGGATGGGGAAAGGTTGACCAGTGGATACTAAGTTACAGTGAAATAGGAATAGAAGTTTGGTATGGAATTGCATATTAATGGTAACTAAAGACAATATAAATTATGTAGTATATGTCTTAGAAAACTGGATATTGAATATCTTCACCATGAACAAATGATAGATGATTGAGAAAATAGGTATGTTTAACCTGATACAAACATTACACAATATATATATAAACATATTGGACAATCACCTAGCACTCCATTGTCATATTCAATTTTTATGGATTTTTTTATAATAAAATATTTCTACTTTTCATTCTCAGAAGTACCCCAGTGGATAATTTGTTACATAATTACACAAAAAGTTCTTTGGTTTTGTGAATTTTAATGCTGATCTCCTTGAATCTAATAATAACTAGGCATTTAAATCAGAAGAATATTCAAGTTTTGGTGTCACTGATTTGCTGCTTGAATCATTGTACTCTACTGTTGGTATTTAAAGCATACACTGTTTGATGATTTAGATAGAATACAAACTTTTCCCCTAAAGAGAGAAGGAAAAGGTATACTGCCCCCAAAAGTAATGTCCCACTTCTCTTTTTCTTTATAAATTATATTCTGTGGAAATTATTATCTTAGTGAAGAGTAGTCTCATAAATATTAAATCAGAATGTTGTAACTCAGAGTCATTTCCCCTCATGAGTTACAAAGCAGCTAATAATTACCGTTTAGTGCCATTGAGCAATATATTTTTAAAACATCTTAAAGTTATGTTAACTCTTCAGTTGAGTTTCTGTTTTCGTCAACTACATTTACAGAGTGTAGTCTAAAAGTCAAGGTTAGGGAAGTCAGTTATACTCATTTTCAAATGGATATTTACTTACTGCTCACAAATACACAAATTTAACAACCTCAGTGATCAGAGTCTTTATTTTATAAACAGGTGTATTGTGTTTTAGTCAGCTTTTTCATTTCTGTGACTAAAAGAACTGACGAGCAAATTTAAAGGAAGAAAAGTTTATTTGGGGGCTCGCAGTTTCAGAGGTCCCATCCATATACAGCAGGCTCCTTTCCTTGGGGATTGAGGTGAGACTGAACATCATGGCAGAAGAGTGTGGCAGAGGGGAGCAGCTCACATGGTGATCTGAAAGCAGAGAGAAACTCCACTCACCACTTGCCAACTATATACCCCAAAGGCACACCAATAATCCACCTCCTCCAGCCACATCCTACCTGCCTTCAGTTACCACTCAGTTAATCTCATCAGGGGATTGATCCACTGATTGGGTAAAGTCTCTCATAATCTGTTCATTTCTCCTCTTAACCGTCTTGCACTTACTTACACATGAGCTTTTGGGGGACACCTAACATCCAAACCATAACAGTCCCTTGTCAGTACAAGCGTATGTTCAATCCAGCTTCTTTTTTCCCTTCCAGTATGTGCTGGCTTTGTTTAGTAACTGAGGAATATAACCCATCATAAATTTCTTTTCTTTTTTTTTT